ACTTCGAGAAAAACATTCGCTTGGATAATCTCTAAAGTGCCCAACATATGACTATTCTACCCTCTCTAAACAAGAACATGGACTTTTGGGCAATAGAGTTGAGAAGTCATGTCTTTTTGTTGGATCATCATACTATGTGCTCTTCTAGATGTTGACGTAGTAGTAGTAGTAGTAGTAGTAGTAGTAGTAGTAGTAGTAGTAGTAGTAGTAGTAGTAGTAGTAGTAGTAGTAGTAGGAGGAGGAGGAGGAGGAGGAGGAGCATCAGCAGTAGTAGTAGTAGATGTCGATGTCATTATCCTCTCAGTTTAAACTTTGTTGGAGACATCCACTGGGTAACGATGGATGCAGCTAGCCCAGGGTCCATGTGCACCAGAAGATGGTTGTATACACATCCACCCAATAGTGTTGCATTCGTACCCTGCACCAAACCCAATCATCCACACCCTATTGCCTTTCTTCATCTGGCCTTTAGCTTCGATGTATGCCAACTCATACCACACCGATGCACTCAACTGGTTTCCAAATCGATGTAGCGTCATTCGCGATGCCTCAACGTTCTTATCTGATAGATTGAGTCCATGTTGTACTGAGGTGATAACCGCTGGTCCACCAACATGGATGCAGAAATGCTCAAATGCAAGACAAAAGTTGGGGATGGATTGTCTCGCCCTCCTTGAGCCGATCACCTTTTTTGCCATGCGATAGAGCAAAACTCTGAGAAGCTCTGACCCCGGTAGGACAAGAGGTCCGGTTACCGTGATATTTGCTTTCAGTGCATCTCCAGCGACACCCATAAGGTCTTTAGAGAGAGCAGTCCCAAAGTTTCCCTTCTCATCTTCCTCTTGATAAACACACCGGTAGGCAGCATCATTTGCTGCAGTGATCGTCCGGGCCAAATGCTCAAGCCGAAATCGAGCCTTGGACCTAGAAGTCGACAAGAGCTTGGCGCACTGCCCATACGAAACAATATGTTAGACAACTGCATGGAACGCATATTTCCTGCATAGTATAATGGTCCAATGATCTCCGTAGATACCACCAATGCGTATGACCCCCAAGGCATGACCTGCAGCATGTTGCTCGCAATTCCCACCGCAGTCACTGACGCAGTACACGCCATCCCTGAAAGGTTCATGAGGCGGATATCACTTCGCAACTTGTATCTGTGCACAATCATGTCAGCGTTGGATGGTACTGGGCTAAACCCACTGCTGTTGGTGATAAGAACACGGATCGCATCACGGTTGATGCATGTCTTGGCAAAAAGTTCATCAATGACCGGGAACATGATCAACTCTGCTTCCGCGCGTGCTTCATCAAGCCCACAATATGGCTCTATATAGGAAAGTATAGGTGGTACATATGTCTGGTCGCTCATGCCTGAGCGCTCCAGAATAGTAGCTATGAAGTTGGTAGTAGAATCATCTAGCAAAGGCGAGAGATGTGCATGCTCAAGCAAGGTTGCCTTTGGGTATCTAAACTTGGAGCTTGCCACAAAGCAAGCATAGTCAACGAGGTATACAGTTCTAGGACGGAGTGCAAGGTAGAATGTTGCTGTGACGATGAAAAGAACGACGACGAGGAATAGGTGGATGGGACAGATAGCACTGGATTGAGGCACAATCTGGTGTGCAGAGACAACCCCTTGTGTAACCTTTGTGAGAACGGCACCAGCGAGTGTAGTTGCAATGGCAATTCGCAGGATGAGGGTGTTGGCAGCACGATGGTATAGCAATCTTAAGTGTTGAAGATGAGAACTCATGTTGTTGGGTAATGTGGTGTACGTCGCGTGCATATGTTGACGAGGATAGCAACCAAGGCCTAACAATGGGATATTTATACAAGGGCCTTGCATATGTTTGAACGTTTCTTTACACTGAGAATCTTATGGGAGAAATACGTAACATCACATCTATTTCAAATAAATTTCTAGCAGTCCTTGAGCAATGATCGTACATATGAGATCCTCCATCCCTACTTCTCAACCATATTTCGTACTTGCATATTTTTCATGTCGCACACTAGTGTGTAACCCATGTTTTTCACACTGCACAACAGGAACACTCTCATTAAAAAAGACTAGCACATATGGCCGTGCGTTGCAACGGAAGATAAAATAGTATGCATTTAAAATTAATGAGAATTATATGCACAAGCAAAACCCTGTGTGCACATGAAAAAGGAACATTTAACTTCTCGGTTTCGCCGCGTGTGAAGGAATCAATCCACTACTTTTTTCATTCATTGGTCGAGGGCATTTAAGAGTTTTGTTGCATCATCGTATGCCAGAGAAGGCCCATAAGTTATTTAATCATCCTTTAAATCGAGGGGGTTTTAAGGTATGAATTTTCTGAACATTCTAGGAAACATGAACAATTTTTTAAATCCTGAATAGTTTTTTAAAAATTATGTACACTTTTGGAAAAAAGATAACAAAATATGGAAGGGAACATCTTATAAAATTCACAAATATTTTCTGAAAACAACAACATTTTTTGTAAAAACATGAACATGATTTGAATTTGTGAACATTTTTTTTTAAATGGGAACATGTATGGAAAATTCATAAGATTCTTAGAAAATGTGCATCTTTTATACACAAACATTATTTTTAATTGTGAGAATTTCACAAAACAGGATTATTCTTTGAATACAGAGCATTTTTCGAAATGCCATTTTATTTTTAGAAATCTCAAACAATTCTGGAAAAACTTTTTGCAAGTTTTGAATATTTTTCAAAATAGCAACGAAATTTTCGAATTTTGAAAATTTTCCAAAATTTGTTTTCTTTAGTTCTGAACATTTCCTGAGAATTTTTAACATATGAAATAAATTCTAAAATAAAAATGAACTTAGACGGGAAAAAGAGATAGGGAAAGGAGAATAAAATTAGAACTAAAACACAGAAATAAAGAAAATGCGCCAGCCCATTATAGGTTATCATGTGCGAAACTCCTACTATTTATCGCCCCATGCGGAAAATAGAATTTTCGCAGCTGCGTGGGCTGAAAAATAAAGGGGCTTGCTTCGTTGGGCCACAGCACACGGCCCACGCACGAAAATTCTTTTTCTAGCAGACAAACACATAAGAATTTAGTACCACCTCGGATAGAAAAAAATTCTTTTCAGTGGTGAACGGATGAAAAATTTGACGGAACGCATCTTGCTTTATCAGTAAGTATAGAGGTATAGAGGTATAGATATAGATGTAGATTATTAAGAAGACATTTTAACGCATATATTGAAAAAGATTATTAATGAACAAACCAACTAATTAGGGATATTTATTTTTCTTGCACTTTCTGTATTTTGGCTTTTCTTTTTCTTTTTCATAAACAATTTTTTTAACATAGTACAGACGCTAGCGCTCATATATATGCGCATACACTCGCATCTATAAACGTACACACGGACACCTTACCCCTATGAGCACCTTCGAGAAAAGGAGGCGGCATATCATCTTAAGATTTACGAAGTCACCTTAGGCGTCTCGTCATCGATGAAAACATCTTTTCCCATCGAAAGTGCATCAGCAAAAATACTGAAATAAATCTAGTAATAATGCGAGCATCAAGACTTGAACCCTGGTGTGCCGGAAATACCACCGCCCCTCTAGCCATCCAACCACATGCTGGTTCACATAAAACAATTTTTTTAACGGTACATGGCAGCTTTGTGCTTGCGGGAAAAAGAATGAAAGGAGATATATTTTCTCGCAATTGCTATAGTGCAATAAAACTACTTTGTTTTTTAGTGGACTGCTTTGTTTCTTGAAAGGTCAGTGATAGGCGTCGGCGCACCGGTCTAAAATTGGGCCGTCGGCCCACAGCCGTCCGATTTCGTGGATCGTAACCGTCCACTGCGTCTTCTTCACGAGTTCGTACGAAGGGTCCCCCACATCTCGTCGGTCCCCTCATCTCGCCAGGGCACACCTTCTGTGGACGTCGCCCTCGCCGGCCCGTCCTCGTCACCGGCCGTCCTCGCTGCTGGTTGCCGCCCTCGCCGGCCATCCTCGGCGCCGATCGCCGCCCTCGCCGGCCGTCCTCGCCGCCGGTTCCATCCATGCGACTAGTGATGGCAGTAGCTCGCCGGTGTGCTCGCCGTTGCAGCAGCTCGCCGGTGCGCTCGTCGCCACATCCACACATCAGCTCGGCGGTCCGCTCACCCAGCCATGGTTGTAGCATCCACACAAGCCGGTTCCAGCTTCTTCAAGTCACGGTTGTAGGATACCGGCTCTAGCATATTCCGTGGTAGCATCCCTGAAGACCGGTTCTAGCATCCCCACGGCGTGGATGTAGCTCCCTCGTTCGCCGGTTGAAGCTTTCTTATGGACGCTTGCAGCTTTCGTCGACGCCCAGCCATAGCTTTCCGTTGTCGTTGGTTGTAGCTTTTTGCGACACCGGTTGTAGTTTTCTTCCTCGTCCCTTGCAGCTTTTTCATGTGGCAGTGGCCAGGCCTAGCATCCATTACCGTGGTTGGAGCTTTTTGTGACATCGGTTGTAGCTCTTTGCAATGCAGTTGTAGCTTTTTTGGTATTGGCAGTAGCTAGCCCAGGCATATGTCGTCGTGGTTGATGCTTTTTGTGACGCCGGTCGAAGCTTCCTCGGCAGTACTCTGTCTTCGCCGGGTTGTAGCAGCTGCCTCGGCACTAGTTTTCCTTTTCGCTGGTGGAAGCTCTTTGACTAGACGGTTCCAGCATCTCATTCTGGTGGTTGCAGCGTCTACGCGTCGCTGCGCGTAGCATCCTGTGGACACCGTCCCGGCCATGGTGTACTGCTGGTTGCAGCATCTGGTGATGCAACTTTTGCTGTTGCCGGTCGTAGCTTTTTAGCTCGCCAGTAGAAGCTTTTAGCTCCGCCAGTTGCAACATCGGTGGACGCCGCGCGTGGTCAGCATGGCCGCCCAATTGCAGCTTTCGCCGTTGCCGGTCGTAGCTTTTTTGCACGCTGGTAGAAGCTTTCAACACCGCCAGTTACAACATCGAGGAGTCGCCGGCGTGGTCGCGCATGCCAGTTGAGCTTCCAGCTCCACCAGTCGCAGAACCTTGCAACTCTTCTCCTCGTCCCGCATCGCAGAGTTGTCTCCACAGCACCGCTCTTCCTGCTCCAAATCTGCAGCGCCGCCACTCCTCTATTTTGCCGGTCGCAGCTCAGGACGGTCTTGGCCAGCAGCGAAAAAAAGAGGCAATGCCCTTGACTTGTGCTCCGGCGTGGAAAGGTGGAAGGGAAAAAGAAGATGGAGGAAGGAAGGGGAATGAGTGGAGGAGAGCGAACACTGTGTGTGCTGGGCGTGAAAGCTGGAACAGATAAGGGGATCGGGAGAGAAAAAAGCACTGCCTGGCCCCACCATGTCTAACGCCTGCCTGCGTCCGGCCAAACGTTTCGGCCGGCGCACCGGGTGGAAACATTTCCCTTCTTGAAAAGTGATAGATTGGGTCGGATTATGCACCTGTGCCGGAATGCATATATACGTGCCACCTATTTGTTTGTCGGAAAATAAAATAAAATCCATTTTCACGCATTTGCTATACCGGAAAAGGCTTTCGTCTCGCTTTATATATAAAACACCAACCACTCATTACAACCACCAACACAACAAAGAAAGACAAAAGAAAAGAAGATCGACATAGATACAAAACACTACGGAACAGCTAACAAGCTTCGAAAGGCCCAACAAATTAGGACACTGGAGCCAACGACGACCTCAACCGCTAGTCCCTGCCGCCAAAGCTGCTAGTCCCCGCCGACAGCTGCTAGTCCCCACCGACACAGCTGCTAGTCCCCACCATCAGGGACCCCGCCGGACCCAGCTCCCCCACGAGCGGCTGACCCGCGCCGCTGGGATCCCGGCCATGGGAGGAAGGAGAGAAGCCCCGCCGCTGTCAGCGTCGCACCGGCTTTGCCCGATGACACCCTCCGGCAACAACGAGGAGGAGCAGATGAGGGGGGGGGATTGTGTATGCAGCGGATCTAGAGCCCTCGTGACGCGCGCGGGGTGCGTCGCGGTAGGAGGGGGTCGCATTTGCTATAGCTCAAACAACTACATTTTCTGAAAATATTATTGATTTTTTAAACCATTGGATCTTGCATGTAACAACATGGAACAATCAAAAATTATAGATACGTTGGAGACATATCATTCCCCCTTCCTTCCTCCTTCCCCATCTTTCCTTCCCCCTCCGACAAATATAGCAGGGGGGCGCGCCACTTGGGAGGACCCCAAGTAGGATTCAGCCTACTTGGGGTGCCCTGCTGGTTGCTCCCTCCTCTCCCCACCTATATATATGTGGGAGGGGGACGCCTAGCACACCCAGATAATTGCCTAGCCGCGCGGCACCCTCCTCCACCGTTTACTCCCTCAGTCAAATTTTCGTAGTGCTTAGGCGAAGCCCTGCGGAGATCACTTCACCATCACCGTCGCTACGCTGTCGTGCTGACCGAACTCATCTACTACCTCAATATCTTGCTGGATCAATAAGGCGAGAGACGTCACCGAGCTGAACGTGTGCAGAACTTGGAGGTGTCGTACGTTCGGTACTCGATCGGTGGATCGTGAAGAAAGTTCGACTACATCAACCGCGTTGTGAAATACTTCCGCTTATGGTCTACAAGGGTACGTAGACACACTCTCCCCCTCGTTACTATGCGCATCTCCATGGATATATCATTCTGTGTGCGTAGAATTTTTTTTGTTTTCCATGCAACGTCACCCAACATTGAGTAGGTATGGGTATATCTACTTAATGAAACACAAGTCTGAAAGATTTAAAAAGTTCAAAGATTTTCAGAGTTAAGTGGAGAATCATCGTAACAAGAAAATAAAGTTTCTACGATCTAATTGTGGAGGCGAATATTT